CCCCCGGGCACGCTGGCCCTGCTGCTGGGCGAGGGCAGCAAGCGGCTGCCGCAGGCCATCATCGTGGGCGTGAAGAAGGGCGGCACGCGTGCGCTGCTGGAGTTCCTGCGGGTGCACCCCGACGTGCGGGCCGCGGGGGCCGAGCCCCACTTCTTCGACCGCGGCTACGAGCGGGGCTTCGGCTGGTACAGGTACGGGACGGGGGCGAGAGCCGCTGCCCCCGCGGCTCGTCCGGGGCTGGGAGGGGGAGTTAAAGGTTTCCTGCTCCCTCCCTGATCCCTAAAGACCCCCTCCCCATAGCTCTGATCCCCAAAGACCCCTCAGAGCCCCCAGCTCTGATCCCCAAAGACCCCTCAGAGCCCCCAGCCCTGATCCTCATAGCCCCTAGCCCCAAACACACTCCAGCCCTAATCCCAAAAGACCCCCCATAGCCCTGATCCCTGACCCTCAAAGGCCCCCATAGCCCCTCCCAGCCCTTGATCCCCATAGCCCCGATCCTCATACCCCCCATAGCCCTGATCCAAGACAACCCCTCACCCTGATCCCTATAGCCCTCTCCAGCCCCCCAGCCCTGATCCCCAGACACCTGTAGCCCACCAGCCCTGATCCTTGAAGGCTCCCTATAATTCCCACTCCAGCCCTGATCCACAAAGACACTCCTCAGCTCCATAGTGCTCCTTCCAGCCCTGATTCCCAAAGCCCTTCCCAGCCCTGATCCTCAAAGTTTCCTCTGCCTGTCCAACCTCCATACCCTTCCCCACATCCCTTCCCAAATGTCTGCCAGGATCAGGTCATGGAACATGATCAGCAATGTCTCATTTGTCCACAGTTGCATCAGTGAAGGGGAAACAGGGTGGGGGAGAGAAGAGGGGAACAGCACTCATCCTAACCCCGTCAGCGCAGGGGGAGCCCAGCGTGTGGGGAGGCCAGAGCAAAAGTCATTTTATAAGGAGGGTTCCTCTCAGGGACAATCAGCTCTTGAAATGGGCTCCAAAGTTTTCAACCACCTATAGCATGGGATTCATTTAGTGACTGGCTCGTTTTCTTCCTAAGGCTTCTTTAGTGATTAAAACAAATAAAAAAGCAATAGGCATTCATACCCCCTCCTTCTTATTAAGGAAGGGAAGTATGATGTCAGGATGTTTAGGAATTGTTGGGTGTTTTTAAGGTATATTTTGAAGGCTAAGGGCAAGTCTATACTACAAAACTAAGTTGACCTAAGTTATGTCCAGGTACAGCCACTGCAGTAATTGAATCAGTTTTACATGTCCACACTACGCTCCCTGTGTCATCAGTGTGTGTCCTCACCAGGAGCTCTTGCCCCGATTTAACTGCCAGAGTGGGGCATTGTGGGGCAGTTTCTGAAAGGCATCAGCAGTCTACACTGAC